GATCGTGGCTATCGCAACGGCTGGTGCTGTTTTTGGTTGCTTGGCTTGCGTAAACCTTACTGAGAAGTTGGGCCGCAAACGAACGATGCAGATCTTTACATTGATTTATGTTGCTGGCATTCTCGGGCAGACTTTCTCTTCTGGAAATATGGCGGGACTTTATATTTCTAGAATCATCGCTGGTATGGGTATTGGTGCTACAACTGTGCTGCCTCCAGTGTACATCTCCGAGGTGAGGATGAGGTCTCCTATGAAGAACGATGACGGCAAAGATTGACTCGCGTTGTAGATTGCACCTCGATCGATCCGCGGTCTTTTGACTCTACAGTACACATGTTGTCAGCAACTTGGCGTTGTATTCGGCTTCTTCTTCAATTACGGCATCACGAAACACTACGCAGGGAACCAAATCCAATGGCAATTACCGACTGCCCTTCAAGTTGCACCGGCGATTGTCTGGGGCCTGGGAACATTCTTCACGCCCGAGTCTCCCCGTTTTCTGCTCTCTTGTGGAAAACCAACAGAGGCTCTCAAGGTCCTCTGTGACTTCCGTTGTCTGCCAGCCGATCATCCATATGTTGACGATGAGTTTCGCGCGATGCAAGCACAGTTGGAACACGAATTGGAGATTGTGTCAGGCGCTTCGGTTTTCGATCTTGCTAAAGAGACGTGGACCGATATGCCAAATAGACGACGATTTGTATTGATGTTCCTAGCGCATTTGTTTTCTCAGTGGAGCGGAGCCAATGCCATGTAAGTGCAACGACCCCTACAGCGACAATACCCCTCTGACTTATGGCCCGTTTCAGCACGCAGTACAGTCCGTCCATCTTTGGATATCTGGGGATACAGGGTGAAGAGGGTCGTCTTCTTGCTACCGGAGTCTATGCCATTGTCAAGTTTGTTTCAGTCTTAATATTCTCGGTCTTCGTTATCGACTTCATCGGCAGAAGGCGATCTCTTCTCACCGGAATCTGTCTCCAAATTACCACGCTTCTGTTCGTTGGTATTTACCTCAAGGTCACCAATGGACGTGACCAAGAAGACATTTCTGCAGATCCAACAGCGCGACGAGCAAGCGAAGCTGCCATCGCGGCCATTTACTTGCATGCAATCGCATGGTCTATAGGATGGTTTTCCATCCCATACCTCGTCAGCGCAGAAGTTTTCCCCATTAGAATCAGATCTCTGTGCGTATCTGTTCTCATGGCCTTTCACTGGGCCTTCTACTTTGGCTGCTCGCGAGCTATGCCATCCCTTCTGGCCGCTACAGAACGCTATGGCGCGTTCATATTCTTTGCGAGCATCTGTTCTGTCTCACTCGTGTACGTTTATCTTGCCATGCCGGAAACCTCTGGGAGATCCTTAGAGTCAATGGAGAACCTGTTCAACCGGCCTTGGTACACCGTCTACAAGGTTGCGTATCCAAAGGCTGAAGATCTTGCAGCTCGCCCGGTGGTGAGACAAGACAACGACAAAGGGGAAGGAGGGAAAGAAGAAGAGAATGGTGCGGCTATGCACCTGGCTTAAGACTTGATTGGCTATTATAGTATAGATTCTATGAGCGACAGTTTGGTTTCTGAAGCTCTCGGGATGACTTGACGTGTATGCTGCCCTGTCTTGCTAAACTTGCCTTCAAGTCTTGGCACAGACATCTTTGAGACGGTAATAGCTGTTTTGTTTGAGCTTCGAATCTGTGTACCAAATAATCAGAAAGTCCAAAGAATTTGGCGTTTGAGAGGACCCGGCCTCGCCTGTGTTCGTAAAAGTCTTTTTGGGTAATGACTCTGTTCGGGAATCTTACCCGAATTTTCTGCCTTGTCATTCTTTCTGACAAGGAAAGTCTGAGCTTAGGGGGTAAGGTGGGATAATTTGGGGATCTCTGAGTCTAAAAGCATTGGGCGCCAGGCGTCTTATCAAGATCTATGCCCTACCTTCTTACCTTCCTAGTCCAGCAGTGACGCAACACAGGCTTTTGTCAAAAGTAACTTGAAACTAGAAGATGGAACGATCGGAGCTAAATAACCACAGATCGACCGAGAACTTTCCGCGGCTCTGTGGCTTGCTCCGGACTGTCGCGACACTGACGGAATTGGAATCCTACGCTGCCCAGAACTCGTCCGAGACTAGATGTGACGGACTTTGGCTTTGTCCATTCCTGCCTTAGCATAGGGCGGAGCCAGCGGCTTTATTCGTCCCACACATTGCACTGCCTATCTTTTTAAGCCATCATCGCGATGATGCTCTTGATCATATAAGCCCATCGCATCCTGGACGGGTGCCGACGGACTCCATGTCTGAGCTCCAAACCTTGTAGACCGGACGACTCCAGCTGTTCCCCCGTGGCCCCTGCTTCCTCTTGTACGCCAACCTGAGTGGCTAGGACATATTCCCAAAGCAACCGTAGAACACGCATCACGCGTCAGTCTGGTTTCAAACGCCGTATACGATCAGCTACAGCTGACCAATATCGCTGGTCGGTCAAGTTGGGGGATTCCGACGATCGTTGGCAGAGTCGGCAAACTCCTGCTGCCTGGTCGTATAAAGTCAACGTGTCTTGTGTTCACGCTGAGTTGATGAGTAGCTAGTGGTGTCAATGAACTTGTGTCACTGTTAGTAAGATGGACATTTTGAAGACGAATCCTGTTTATCTCGGTGGTGCGCTCGTATGCATCGCACTGGCTGCGGTACGTTTCCAACTCACCGGGCTTCTCACTGATGTATCTAAAAGTACCTACCACTGACAAATGGCTTGCTAGTACGTCTATGCCGGGCTCACAAACCCGTTGTCGAATATTCCTGGGCCATGGTACACCAGGTTCACAACACTGCCATCGACATTCAAGGTCATCACAGCACACCACCCCGATTGGATCCACGATCTACACGCCAAGTACGGGCCGGTGGTGCGGTACAGTCCACACGAGGTCGACATTTCTGATCCACCAACATGCCAGCGGATTCACAGCGTGAAGACCGGATTCTTCAAGTCGCCATTCTACTCACTTCTCATCACGGATTCCTCTAGCGTGTTCAACGAGATACGCCCAGAGATCCACCGCAAGTACAAGCGTTTGTTGTCAAATCCCATGTCAGAGACTGGCTTGAAGACGTTCCTCCCTCGCATCGACAGTAAGGTCCGCTTGGCTATTGAGCGCATCCGTGACGAAAACAAGGTTCGAGGTGCAGCCGACATTGCGAAGTGGTTTATGTTCCTCTCGTTTGATGTTATCGGTGATCTAGCCTTTGGAGAGTCCTTCGGCAATTTGGAAAGCGGCAAGGTATGTGGCATCCTCTTCAAAGTTCCGACGAGACATTTGGGGCTTGCACTAAAACCCATGGTCTCGAGTAGAAGAACCGATCTGTCAACGACTTCGTCAGTCTCGGTTTCGTCGGCGGATTACGGTCCATGTTCCCCACAATCGCCCAAATCTCTCTCTACCTTCCGATTCCAGTCTTCAAAGAAGCCACCGCAATCCAATACCGTACTTTTGACTACGCTCAGGGTGCCCTAGACCGCCACGCTAAGCGCGTCGAAGAGACTGGATCAGATCCCCACCCGACAGTCTTTTCCAAGCTCTACAACGCCGGCGAAGAAGAGACCTGGAACCCGATCGAGATCCGCGACAACGCGCAGGTCTTCATCGTGGGTGGCAGCGACACGACCGCCAACTCGATGATCTACCTCGTCTGGGCGGTGTGCAAAATTCCCGAGATCAAAGCCAAGCTCATGAAAGAGCTGGATGCTCTTCCGGACAACTACACATACGATCAGTTGAAGGAGCTGACGTATGTGAACTGGATTGTCAATGAGACACTACGGCTTTACACCGCTCTGCCGTGTGGGCTTCCAAGGATTGTACCCCCTGGCGGCGCGGAGCTTGCGGGACAGTTTATTCCCGAAGGATTCACTGTTACAACGCAGGCGTACAGTCTTCACCGGGACGAGCATGCGTTCCCTGACCCCTATAGATTCTATCCCGAGAGGTGGGAGAATACCACGCAGGAGATGAAGGATTGCACCATGCCCTTTGGCGGTGGTGCCCGTAGTAAGCCCTACTCCGAACCACGGCAGCTCTCGCCGTTGAGGTAAGGTTTTGCTGACAGCGAGAAACAGCTTGCCTGGGAAGGCATTTGGCTCGCATAGAGCTCCGGCTCATCACTGCTAGGTTTTTCAAGGCTTTCCCGAAAGCAATTGTGTCTAATCTCGAAGGCATGTGCGACAAGGATATGGAGCCAGCGTTGCATTTCCTGATGGTTCCCAGCGGTCATCGATGCTTGATTAAGCTCGATGGCTAATTGTACATCGAACTGTTGGCATAGAGAAGAACACGAGGGACATCATAAGTTCTTTGGATACGTCAAATCGTACCGTGAGCCTCGTTTTCGCGAACCAGTGCGGAACCAAGTCGGTTGGACAGGACTTGGAAGGGCAGAAGCGGGGCAGAAGCTGAACCAGCTGGCTTCGGGACCCCTTGCGGAAGCAGAAAAGATCCGGCAGGCTGCATATCCCAGCCTGCTTACGTGGGACGATGACTGACCGTATGGAGACTTCAGAGCTGCAATCAAGCTGAGCTGACACTCCTGTACGGAGTACTGTAGTGTTCTTCTCGGAAGCCAAGGCATTTAGTCCGGCGGGGAATTCGGATGCGGAAGTAAACTTTCCCATGTCATGCCGCGTTGTGGAACTGGGGTACGGACCGCCAAAGATGGATGTGCACATATCGAGGTACTTTCCCTATCAAAATGAAATCAATTGACTGGAAGTACATGATCCTACACAGTCTATCCATTGGAAACTAAAGCTCGCACGTTATCTCCTCTAGTAGGGGAGGTCCCAGCTAATTCCATAGATGACAAAGACACAGCTGAGCTGCAGCAACCCGCGGGCGATACGGAGCGGGGCTCAAGGGCGCCGTGCCCCGCCATCGGCTGCAAGGACCCCACTACCCCGCTGCGGCCCCTTGCGGCGGAATGGTTCGACCGCGCCCTATGACTTCATGCTGAGCCGCCCGTGGTTCAGATTTCCTATGTAAGCCTCAACTAGCACACACCTCTTCACCGCCACATCCATATCATACGCTTGAGCCCTCCTCAAAGCCTCAATTGACTGCCCCTGAGCTCATTCCATCTCATTGACACCCCATACACCGAAGCAATGGCCGAGACTCCAAGCGCAAAGCGTCAAAAGTCCTCCAAGGACGTCTCCTACGAACTCATCTACTGGCCAGGCCTCCCCGGCCGCGGCGAACACGTTCGTCTCCTCCTCGAGGAGGCCGGCGCTGAATACACCGATACCGCACAGATCGAAGACGGCGTCAAGAGCGTTCTGGCTCAGATCGATGACAAGAACCTGGGCGACGAACACAACCCGCCTCCCTTGGCGCCTCCCATCCTGAAGCACGGAGACCTCCTCATCAGCCAGACGCCTAACATCCTGCTCTACCTCGGACCACGCCTCGGCCTCGCACCCAAGAAGCCAGAGGGTGACGACGGCATCTACATTGTCAACGGTCTTGCACTGACTGCGCTGGACGGACTCAGCAACGAGGCTCACGACACGCACCACCCCATCGCGACGGGGCTGTACTACGAGGACCAGAAGGAGGAGAGTAAACTCAAGGCGAAGGACTACATCGCCAATCGGTTGCCCAAGTTCTTTGGGTACTTTGAGCGGGTGCTCAAGAGCAAGGCCAGCGGCGAAGGTCCATGGCTTTACGGAGGCTCTTTGACATACGCTGACTTGGTGCTCTTCCAGGTAAGATATCGCTTCCGAAGCGCTGTGGTTCTAAGGATGCTAATGCGATCAGTGTATCGATGGTCTCAAGTTCGCGTTCCCCAATGCTCTGAAGCGAATCGAGGCTACTGGCGACTACAAGGGTCTCTTTGCGCTCTATGAGGCCGTCAAGGAGCGGCCCAAGATCAAAGAATACCTCGCTAGCGATCGTAGACAAAAATATTCGCAGGGCATTTACCGTCACTATCCTGAATTGGATGAAGAGTGACAGTGAGACTGGTGTCATCTAGAAAGGTTCATTGCCCGAACATATGTTAGGATGGACGAGTTGCAATAAAAGTCATATGTTCAAGCTCAAATAGTCGTATATGTTTCATTCAACAAAAGCATCACCTTGAAATTATATGGCATTGTTTTCCCAATCATCCCATTCTCGGTAGCCCGTTCGCTCTTGCCGTCTATTGCGATCTCATACCATTTTGAAAGTTCACCCAGTTGTTTGTTGTTCTGCTTTAGAACACACCACAATTCCTCGCGTCTTCACAGCCTTTGGACCCCGCCTCATCTTTTTCCCCACACCAACTCAATCTCTTGACCCTTTATTCTATTACCACCCCGAATGCTTTTTGATTATCCCAATCGCATCACCAAAGCATACACATACTTAGTGGTCTTGGATTTCGAGAGCGATATCGGAAGATCACGTTACTCAGTCATTTTCAAGCCGCCCAGCATGAGCGATCAACAGAATCCCGCACCTCTCAAGGATCCATCGAAGAAGGAGTCGACTCTCAACGCTCTTGGCAACCAAAATCCATCGATTGCCAGGCTCGCGAGGTCTTGGGGCCCTTACACACCTCCCGACATGAGCTACTGCGCTCTAGAGGTGAGTATCCTTAGCAGTCTGTTTATTATTTGTCATTGCCGCCTTAATATCAAATCACTGACTGATCTCAATGGTTTTGATAGCACGATGACCCAGTCTTGCTGGAGAATATCAAGATGCTCAAAGAACTCACGTCTGAGTGCGACGAAGATCCTACCAACCTCCTCGACGTTGTGATGAGAGTTCCGCCTAGGCTGAGCAAGTCGATTGTTTACCTGACGGTTGGGCTCCTTCAACACCAAAAGCTGGTTGAAAATTTACTCATGGTGACCGAGCTGCGTACTGAGAATGATGCTGGGCCCATCAGAAACACAAAGAACGGCCAGAACGTGAGGAAGAGGAAGAAGACAAAGACAAAGACTAGAAAGTTGACCGACATCAAGGAGGACAACGAGGACGATGAGAATGGTGGTTCCATGGCTCCCAAGGGTCTAGAGAAGAATGACCAGAAGAACGAAACAAAGGACAACATGAGCAAAGCTTTTGGCCCCGCCGAGAGCAATACTGTGGCCAATACCAATCATCTGGCGGTACCCAAGAGCAAAAGGAAGAAGGCGAAGAAGCAGAAGGCCGGCAACGCCATTGGGATTGCTGAGAGTAATCCACAGCTCAACACCGACCAGCGAGCAGCCTCCTTGAATACGAAGACCACGGCAAAGCATAAGAGTAGCAGAGGCTCCTGGACTATTGAGAGTAACGCTGGAGCAATCACCAAAAAATCGACAGTCTCTAAGGGCAAGAAAGTCAAGGCAAAGGAGAACATTGACAACAATTCCAAGACCGTGAAGAACCACCCAGGAGCCAATATCAAACAGCAAGCAATACCCAAGAACAAGAATAAGATGGCTAAGACCAACAAGAAAGACAGTGCTGCGGAAACCCATGAGCAAGCTGGGGGGACGCAGCCCAAGAGTGCCCCAGAGTCGTCAAACGCGCAGAACAACAATAAGGTCGAGAGTTCCCCCAAGCCCGACGAGGGTGAGAAGAAGACAAATGTCAGCGAGACAACCGATGGCGGATTCTTCTCCGTCCTTGAGATCGAGTGCATGAAGAAAATTCAGGGTCGCATTGAACGCGGGATCAGAGACTGCCAGGAAGTGTGGACTGTGGTGCAAAAAATGGAGGAGGCGGCAGAGTCGGAGTGGGCCAAAGCCAGAAAGATGCAAACCCAAGAACAGGCGGAGTGCTCTGCTGAGGGCGGTTAGTCTTTACTCCAAAGGATTCCATTGAATCTGCCCTCAATGTCACTTGTCAAGAGAGCGGAATTTGGATGAGGAGAATGACACAGTCTGGGTGAACAGCCTGAGAGGGGGCGAGGTGGACTCCAGGCTCAGGAATCGTAGGCAAGACTTGGCAGCTCTTGATCTATACATCCTTCACCAGTCATCCTTATAGAAACTGCAGCAGTGTGCTCATTCATCAATGAACGTGAAATGCGAAGTATGGTGTGAGAAGATGAACCTCTTTATCTGGATTAGGCAAGGAACTCTTGATCAAAAAAGCACTGGCTATATTCACATTAATTGAGTGAGAACTGGAGATGCTGGTGAGAATTTCATTGCTGACACAACTAGAACGACTGTGTGGTCGAAAATAAACAAAACGATACTGAGGCAGGCGCACCCCTTTCGCACCTGCACCTGGGGCGAAGAATATTTTCCCAAATCTCACTTTTCAGCTTTCTCTCGCCTTTCTCCCTCAACATAAGGTACTCACTCCATTCAACACACTCTCCTTACTTCCACGCCACAAACAGAGGGCGATATTCCATCATTCTCTCACTCTTGGCCACTTTGGCATCACAGACAATCGCCCAAAATCACAATCAAGACAAATCAAAGCCATGTCTGACTCTACTTCGAACTCTTCTTTGGATTCTGCTTCGGACTCGGCCTCGGAGTCTGCCTCTGACAGCGACGGTCCTCAGTTGCCATTCCGCAGCAGCCGCAGCGCCGCGAGACGCAGACGCAGAGCCCGTCAGGTATGCCCTTCCCAATCCTCATCCTTTCCCTGCCTCGCTGTATCTCCAGAGGTACAGTGTGAAGTTGGCTCAAAGGAAAAATAAAAAAAGATCATTCCTACTCACCTCGGTCTCACAGATGCAAGAACGGCGTCTCTATGAAGCCGATCTCCCTGATCATGACGATGATGACTCTGATGATGGCTCTGCAAGCGAGTCTTCGGTGCAGTGGGCTACGACCCTTTACGCCACTCCCGAGCAGCTGAGAAACCTGCCTCCTCTTCCTCTCAATAACTCGAACTACGTGGCCGACAATGCTTCGATTTCTCATCCCGTTAACCCCGTCCCGGACTCTCCTATCCTTACAGAGTCTAATTCGGAAGATTCTGAGACTGGCCTTAGCAACGCTGTCTTCGATGGTTCTGACATCGATGAGGCTGCTTCCGACATCTCTGAGGGTAGTCTCGCCGATGTCGTCCCCGATCCCCGTGTTCTCGAAGCGATTACCCCTGCGGGTTCTGAGCGAAACCCCATCGTGATCAAGAGCGCTCGCATCATCACCAGAATGAGAGCCAGAATTACGGAGAACCCTGCCACCGCCATTCAAGAGCGCCGGAGTGCCATTGCGACCATCGGCGAGATCTTTCCGTTGCGCTCACTGACTTATGGTGGTGGCCTTTTCACTCCGTTCCAGCCCCTTGGCGTGTGGCATGAAGACATCCTTCTTAGCGACATAAACGCCTCATTGGCACTGGAGCTGGCTTTCAGCCGTCTGGTCGAGTGGTCCGATACCGTCAGGGCCCTCAGGGATCTAACGCGACAACTCACTGAAGAGGTCAGTGACGAGGAGTACATCACTGCCGAGGAGTTCCTCACTGACGAGGAAGACTAGTTGGGTCGAATTAATCAGGAGCTACATGGTGTTCGCGAGATGTTGGAGGGTCGACACCATGTGCAGTCGACACCTTTGCTTACACAGTCCGAGTTGAGCGACATTAACAACACTGTCCTTAGCCCTCGCGAGCTGCGCATCGAGATCGTCGAGTTCGTAGCCAGGGAAGTGGGCTTCATTGTTGCCTCGACTTACATCAACCGCTACCACCTATACCTCCTGGAGACCCTCTCCTATCGCCCCCATCTTATCATCGCGACGCTGTGTTGGGCAACTGCATTGGCTTTGTTGTTCTACTTGTTCTTTGCTGTGAGATTCTGAATGATCTCCTAAGAGGAGGTCTGGATGGTCCATAGGGGTTATCGGAAGGCATGGAATTGGAAAGCCACCTGGCTTTGTGAGTTATCGCTGTTTGGAAGGTAGTCTTCCCATGGAGGACTTCTCATCATGATCATTAGTGCCAGAGGTAGCTTAGGGCAAATGTTACACAAGAGCTACCCACAGACCACATCTCACTCATTCCGACCATGTGTGGGCAGAGCATAATCCGAGACGTAAGGCCTTGCAGGACTCTATTAGAATAGCTCACGTGCCCTGTCGAATGTTGAGAAAGCATAGTTCTCAACTCGGCTGCAACACTTTATGTTTGACCTTTTCAGACCGCGCCAGCCATCAGAGATAGGGGTTCAAATGAGGGGTGAGAAGGATTCAAGGCCTGACGACTATAATACGGGCAATTCCGATTGACAATACTGGATAAGGGATGTTTAGAATGGGCATATGAGGTTTTGAGGAAAGCTCATCAGCTGGACGCAACACGTAGGTGTTCGTAGCAAGTTCAGTCCATCCGCAAACCACCCATGACTCGCGGCACCGGTGTCGGGATCATAAAGCACCGCCACCTTGGGATCCGTATATTTTTTGTTTTTTCTCAGGGGCGTGCTCCAGCTTTTCGGCCCAGTGGTGCCCAGCCGGGGCCCGATGAATAAGGGGGTTTTCTCCACAAGCTTCCCCAACATCGTTACCCTGGCGTGCAGGCGGAGAAAGGCCAAATGCCCCAAGATGAGTTGGAGAAGCTCTAGAACTGCCAATGTCTCTCAATAAACGGTCACATGAGGCAAGTTAAAATTGGAATTCCAGCCACGAGCTCTGTTGCGTCGGTGACAATACGAGAAGAGACCCTGAATTGCAGGGCTCAGTTGCCAATAGCTCGGATATAACAAGGGTTTTGGGGAATTAGAGGTTGCGTGCTAAATTTAGGTAGGTGAGTCTTTGAGAGAGGGCGGATTTCCTTCCGTTAGGCGTTGATGATTGTCTCTTGAAGTCGCTTTCCGGTGTGAATACAGCTTTCACCCAGGCTGAGGCTGGAATGCTTAGACTTGATTCCGTCTCCCCCGTGCCTTTTGATTGGTCTCCAGAGACTTCCAAGCATTCAAGCCACAGATGTCTCGTTTCTCCATGTTGCTAAAGTGCTAAACTGTTGAGGTCAGTGATAGTGGCAAGGTGTGCTTTGGTAGCTCCACCTCTAATCCCAGTTTATCAGGCCGGACCAGTCCAAAAACGTCACCGGGCCCAGTTTATCAAAAATCAGACTGTCTGTCACTCTCTCATTAAAAACTTGCGGTCAGGACTCAGGAGGCAGCGGTGTGTTCTTGATCACTTCAACTTTCAACCTCAAGCTCACTCACCCCTTTGCCTCATAATTCGCTCTCGCCATCTCATCAATCACCTCCTGAATTACTCGCGCGTACCCATTATCTACTTTTAATCCTAAGATGCCTCACAGCACGGAGAGCCTCAAGCTCACCAGCAACAACCTGTCCTCAATCTCCTCTCAGGAAGGCAAGCAGACCGTAAAGGTCCCCACGTACGACCGCACCGTCGTCAAGGAGGGCATCGTCCACGTCGGAGTCGGCGGCTTCCACAGAGCTCACTTGGCTGTCTACATCGACCGCCTCCTCCAGAAGCACGATGAGCGCGACTGGGCCATTTGCGGCGTCGGCCTCCGGCCCAACGACGCCGCCATGCGCGACGTCCTGAGCGCCCAGGACCACCTCTACACACTCATCGAGCGCTCCGCAAAGGGCAGCAACGCCAGCGTCATTGGCAGCATCAACTCGTTCCTCTTCGCGCCCGACGACCGCGAGGCCGTTATCGCCAAGATGGCCCACCCGGACACCAAGATTGTGTCCCTGACCATCACTGAGAGCGGCTACTACTACAACGAGAACACGCACCAGCTGCAATCGGAGCACCCCGACATCCAGCACGACCTGGCCAACGAGGACCAGCCCATCAGCATCTTTGGCTTCCTCTACGCCGCGCTGGCTAGGCGTCACGCCAACGGCCAGAAGCCCTTCACCGTCCTCTCCTGCGACAACATGCAGAAGAACGGCTCTATCACCCGCTCCATGCTCGAGTCCTTCGCCCGCCTCAAGAACCCAGAGATCGCCGCGTGGATCGCCGAGAAGGGCGGCTTCCCTAACGCCATGGTCGACCGCATCACCCCCAGTACCTCCCAGAACGACATCAAGTCGCTCGCAGAGGTCTTTGGCATCGAGGACGGCTGGCCCGTCGTCACCGAGCCCTTTATGCAGTGGGTCGTCGAGGACAAGTTCTGCGACGGCCGCCCGCCCTTTGAAAAGGTCGGCGTCCAGATCGTCGAGGGCGTCCACGAGGTCGAGCAGTTCGAGAAGCACAAGCTCCGCCTCCTCAACGCCTCGCACTCCGCCATGGCCTACCCCGGCCAGCTCGCCGGCTTCAAGTACGTCCACGAGGTCATGGAGCACCCCATCTACCGCAAGTTCGTCTGGCAGATGATGCAGGAGGAGGTCAAGCCCCTGCTTCCCGAGATCCCCGGCGTCGACATTGACGAGTACTGCAACACCCTCATGGAGCGCTTCTCCAACCCCACCATCATGGATCAGATCCCCCGCGTCGCCCTCGGCGCCTCGGGCAAGATCCCACAGTTCATCATGCCCTCCATTGCCGAGCAGATCTGGACCACGGGCCCCTTCCGCCGCCTGTGCTTCGTCGCCGGCGCCTGGTTCCGCTACATCAACGGTGTCGACGACGAGGGCAAGACCTTCACTGTCGACGACCCGATGCGCGAGGAGCTCCAGGCCTTGGCAAAGGCCGGCGGCAACGACCCGCGCCAGCTGCTCAGCGTCAAGATTCTCTTCGGTGACGACTTGCGCGGCGACCAGCGCTTCATTGATGAGGTCACCAAGGCCATGGAGCTCATCGCCAAGGATGGCGTGATGGCCACCATTCCCAAGTATGTTGATTAAAGCGAATCAATACTGGGAAGTGTAAAAGTGTTTGTCGACTTGTGCTGGTACAAGCAGCCTTTTATGTTATAATGAGTAAAGCAGGGATAAAAATGGGTACTTGAAGCGGTCATGAGAATTTATAGATATAGATATAGATATTTATAGAGACATTTTGTGTTTTGATTTTGTACAAAACGAGGCCATCCCATGCGTTTGATGTCAGTTGCAAAAGAATTTGACTCTGACACGAATACGAAAGGTGGAGGTGCAGTGTCCAAACGACCAGCAGAGGGATCCAATGCTTTTCAATTGCCAACATGTCTCCCACCAGCCTCAGATATTCTTAGAGCTCTTTAATGCATCGAACAAACCACTTGCCTCCCTCACCTACCTGGCAGACTTTTGTTATTCCTACTAACCCCTTTTTTTGGACTCGACAAAGCAAGGCAAGGGAGTAAAAATTCCGAGAGGGAGCGGGCAACCCCTTCACTCGATATTCAGAAAAATGAGGTCATGGAACAAGACAAAGGGAAAGCTTCTCCCTAGAACGTCAACAATATGTACTGCAGGCTGTTTTCGTTGACCTAGCTCCTTGTTGGCTCGAGCTGTGCGATGGCCTCAATCCGTCCCAAGGGCTTTCTCGACTGGCTTTAGAAATTCGAAGACGATGAGGGTGCTATCCAATAGCTACAAATAGGCCTCGGCTGCCAGTGATCTGGACTTTTTCTTTTTCTGGTCATCGACTCATCAACACCCAGAAAGTCCATCAAGTCCGCCTTTGCCTAAAGACCTATTCATATCACAGCTTCGGCACAGCTTTCAGAGTCGTCCGTCTGCGATTGAAGCAACTTGCAAGGTCTTTTTCCACGATCCTCGCCAGTAAGTCACTGAATTCTTCCATGGTGCCACTCATGTTCAGCCTCCATCTCAAGTTGCTAAGTACTAACGAATTGCAGTCTTCAGATGACCGATCAACTTCCCATCATGGAAATCAAGTGGAATCTCACTGTGGGCGAGAGAGTGAGTTACTACTTACATCCGATTCTACCTTTACTCTGCTGACCTGAGGAATCTGGAAAGTATGTGAGACTCGACGCCGCCGGTGCCAGCTTGAGTATCTTGGAAGAGGCGCAGAAGACCGTGACCCCCGAGAAAGTCGAGCAGGTCGCCGACGAACTCACCACGGAGGAGCAAAAGGAAAAGGTATTTGAGGGCATCCATTGTATAGCAGCTACCGATACCGATACCTATTCGTTTGTCTTTGAGACCTTGGTCGACATGTACCTGATGTCTTACAAGCTCAATGAGGACCAGAAAAAGGCGATTGAAAGTCTGGTTAGCGAGGTTAAGGAGTTGCGTGGGCAGATAGAGAGGCAGCGCATCAGGTTATACCGCGCGGAGCGATTGGCCATGCTAAGAAGCAATGGGGAGGATCCTTATGGGTGTTAGAGGTCACTGTTTTCTCTACCTTGGGGTACATGTACTTTTCAAGTGGAGAGTTGAAGTCATGATTCACCTCGGTACGTACCTGTGGTAATTGACACAATGCCCCATCCCGAGATCCAAGGCTGGTTCGACTCGTATCAACAAACGTACTTCCAAAACATTCCCCGAAATCGAAATCGAAAACTTCTTTGAGTGCTGACATCTGAGTGACAAGTCTACAATCCCTGTCCTTAGGTACGCCGGCACCTTACTGTAACGCAAGTTTAGGTCCCCGGACCATAGTCCCGCACCCGGCATTTTCACATCTGAGTTGCCTCGCTTGATTACCAGTCGTTCGTTCCTCGCGAGTTTTAGCTACGCCATGGCTGCTCCTACGGCGGCGTTCCTCGCAAGTACCGATCTGTCGTCCAGCTTCCCTCTCTGACCACAGTTGCGCCTGGGTCACGATCATGAAGCTTGCTCCTTACGCTTTACCAAAATTTCAAAGGTGCCTTTATCGTTGTTGCCAACTATCATCCGGCGGTCAAATATCTTAGATACGCAAGAGTCACCAAGAAAACAAAACACCAGGTTGGAAGATAGCCGACGACCCACCTGATAACCAACGAAGATAGCATCAACGAATAGGGTGAGAAGCAAACAACCCACAAAAGTTCGCGCCGCCGCTTGATTTTGCTTCGTGAAACCAAGTAATGCCAAGACCTGTCTTTGGGAAATTCTCCATGGATCATAGACCTTTGAGCATCATTTACCACATATACTGATCTGAGAGAGGCGAATAAGAAGCTTCCACCATATCCTGGCAAGGTGGTGTACAGGCTTAGCACCGCTCCTCGTTGATGCTCAAGACTATGTTTAGATATCTCCACCCGACTTTCCGGCTTTCTATCCGCCATCAAAGTAGTAGCTACTAGCCCAAGGAAATATGCTTTCCCATGAAGTGCTCTAAATGCTATAGATCGAGTGCTGGCCTTTGAGCTCGATGTTGTTTTCTATCTGCTCGTCGACTTATCAACCTTTTGGCACCGCGTTCCACTCTGCGCTCGAATCCCCTGAGACAACATCTTCAGAGCCCTTCTATCCAGCCTTTCCTAGAAAAGGCTTTGACCGTTCCCAACTAGAAAGTCTTCAGTCTTGTCGTTCTCCTTTAACTTCCCAACACCTAATCGACCATCCATATCCAAAGCTGACGTTCCACGTCTCTACCATAATGGCGTCGAACACCTCTGGGCATGGAATGGCCTTAAGTAGTCATCATTGGCTCGCACACCTTCCATCAGTTCGTGCAACCTCGATTGATGATTTTACAGCCAGCTGGGTTTGACTTACGGAGTGCCACCCGAGAAAGTATTATCAAGTCGCGCCAGCAATACCGCGTACGTATAGACACTACTTTAACATTAGTATTAGTATCCTTATTATAAGGTAGTTAGTTCGAACCGTAGGTTAACAAAGAGATTAATTAAACTATATAAATTTCTATATAAGTATAAAAAGGAGGTTCTAATTATAAATTAGGCTAACTATAATAATTATAAATAGGGCCCCTAATTAGCCCTTATATAGTTAGCTATATACTATAGCCGAATTAGATTTTTAATTTAATATTAACTTTTTTTTTTTTATTAATTTATTTATTATAGTTAGAAATATAATTCGATTTTAAGTACGTTTACTAAGTCGTCTTCTTTTCCCCCTTTTCTCTACTCTTTTTATATAACTTATCCCTTTATTTATATATTAACTTTTTTATTATTTATAAATTATTTTAACCCCTTATTAAGTACTACTTTTATAAAAACGTTAATAAGGTTATTATTATTATTAATTTAATAAATTTTAAAAATCTTGCGCTTTTTATATAATTACTTAAGGGCTATAATATTAATTATAAACCTCTTTTCTTTTATTATTCTTAATTTAATAAAATATTCGTATAATAAATAAAAATTAATATAAATAACTGTTAGGATTAGTAAAAAGTTAAGTTAATTAGTAATCCTTTTTAATATTATTAAAATTACGTAGGCGAGGTTAATATTATTAACTATATTATAAACTTTTAATACTAATATATTTCTTATTATTTACTTATTTTTAGTTAATAAGTAATAAATTATATTATTATATATAGTAAATTTACTCTCGCTTATACTCCTATTAACTAGGATAATAATATACTCTAATTACGAAATAAAGTTATTATTATTTATAAATAACCTATTAATAAAAATATAGAGCTTACTTATTATAAAATTAATTAAGTAATAAATAAGGCCTCGATTAAAATTCGTTTATTATTACTTAAGATACTTATTAAGTACTTTAATATCTCGTTTATTTAGTTTTATAGCTTACGCCACTCTAGTATAATTAAAAATTACCTCGGGCTAGTATATACTTATAATATATACCCCTCGTATAAGCTTAGTTTTATATTATTTTTTAATATTAATTACGTTTAGGTTAATAAGAGTAATCTTTTTACTTTACCCTTTTTATTAAAAAATAATAGTTTCCCCTTTAATTATAAGAATCTTATTATTAAATACTAATAAGTTATTTATTATAAAAACCTCTTTTAGCTTTATTATAAAGCCCGCTTTTTAAAGCTCTTTATCTTCTTTTTTTATAAAATTAATATTAAATAAGCTTAATATATTATTAATTTATATTTTAATAATCCCAAATTAGTTACCTTCGTACTTAGAGACTAATAAGCACGGGTTATATATAAATATAACTATTAATAATTAATTAATATAAAAATTATAGTATATAGCTTATTAATAAGTACCTAATTCTGCGAGCTTATATAATAATTTAAGTACTTTAATAATCGTACTTTTTAAGTACTTACTAGCTATTTCTTTTAGTAAGTAAGCTAGGATTTTCTTTATAAGCCCTATAACTAATTAAGTATAAGCCTAAGTAATATTATAACTTTAAATTTTATATCCCTTCTTCTATAATAATATTATTAATATTATTATTAATCGCTAGCTATAGCGCTATACTATAAGTAATTATATAAATAGCGTTACTTTTTTAATATTACTATACCCCTAAATTATATACTTAGATTTCTTATATAGTTAAAGTATTCCTTTTCCCTTAATTTTATATACTATTTACGATTTAAATATATAAAAACTTTTATATTTCTTAGGGTTATAAAGAATAAATTAATAGACCCCTCGATTATATAGAGTATTTATTTTAATAAGATCTAATCCCTTATATAGTTTTTTAATAATTATAATAATACTTTCTTTACGTAGTTTAATTATTAATTTAAAATCGGCTTTCTTTTTTACTATATAAAAGGTATTAAATACCCCGTTATTAATAATAAATTACTACGTTAGGGCTTATTATTATAGTTTTTTATAACGTCTCGTTAGTAATATTAATACCCTTTTAGTAATTTTCTTTTCTTTATTATTTATTAATATTACTACGACGATTTTATTAAAAATAGTTTCTTATACTTTTATTACGGGTTATATAGTTTCCCCTAGCTCTTCTTTTTTTTATAAATTAGAAATTATTTTATTAGGATCTATATAATATAGTCTAATTATTATAATTAATACTTTAAGTAGCTAGTTACGATTTTTTATAACTATATAAGAGTACTTATTAATAAAAATTAATTTATATAGCCTAGCCTATTACTAGTTAATTTCTTATTATACTTATATATCTGAATTTAGAAGTATATTTAAATTAGCCCCTATATTAGGCTTATTATGCGTAGTAATTACTTTGTTAATTTACCTTTTTATACTTATTTTACGTAGTACTTATATTACTTTTTTAATTACTTAGGCTCGTTAGCTTATATTTAGTAATAATAATAAGACTAAAGTCGTTTTTAAATATATTCTAAATATTAATAACGTTGGTATAACATGCCTATTAAGCCCTATAATATTATTATAGTACTTTAATACTATCTAGAAATATTTATCGTTAGTAAAATTAGGATTTTCCTTTTTAATAATTCTAAACGCCCTTTTTAGTTATTAATATACCCTTTTTACTTTTTTAATATTATAGTACGCTTCTACGAGTACGACTTTTAACTATATACTATAGGCCGTTATATTTTCCCTAAATTTTATTAATTTAAAACTTATATTAGTATTAGTTTTAATATTATTTAATAGTCCTTAGTATATATTAATTTAATATTTTTATAGGGCTACCTATACTATTTTTACTTATAAATCCTATAAGAATTACCTTATTTAAAATAATATAGCCTCGTTAATTATATATAAGACCGGTTAACTATTTAAATAGAAAATATTAATAACGATTTCTTAATTAAAGTTAAGCTTATTACGTAATTTAAATTTAAATTTATATAGGCTCTATATATTTATTTAGTATTAATAATATATTTTTATTAACTACTCTAGCGCCCCTATTTCGATATTATTATTACCTAATTACTTTAAGAAGCTATATAGCCTCGTAACTAATAAATACCTAAATCTTTAATATAATTATTTAAGCTTATTTTTCGTTAAGTAATTAATTAACTTCGTATTATTAATAAGCTTTATAAACGTATACCCCTATCGTCGTTCGACTATTTTAAAATACTTATTACTAAAGATTTTATTCCTCGTATTATTAAATATAATACCTAATTAATCTATATTTTTAAAATATAAAAAAAATAAGGTATTAATAAATAAAATATAAAAAGTTATTGTTCTAAAGTGCGTTTTTATTTTTACTATACTTAGGGCGACTATTTCCTTACCTAGGCTAAAACTAATTTTTATAATACCTGCTATTAATATATTAAGTATTATTAATACGATTTTTTATAGTACTTAGAATTACCCCTTTCTTTTTATTAATTATTATAATACTTTAGTATTTAAAATAATCTTATAAAAATTATTTAAGCCGTACCTTTTGCTTATATAAAATACTTATATAAGCTTAGTATTTAAATAATTTAAATAATATAAAAAAAACCCCTCTAATTACCCCTAGAATTACTTAGTACTATCTTTCTTTTTTAATATTAATAAAAATAATATCTTCTCCCTAAGTATTAAGAAAATAAAATTCTATACTATTAAATTCGTCCTTTTAATTACTTCTATATCCGTTATTTAAAGAACCTTCCCTTATTATTTATAAATAAAAACTTACTTATTAAGAACTTTTATTATTTTTTATTTATTTAGCCTCGTATATCTTTTAAAAACTAACGGGGTAAAAAAAGAGTAGTTAATATTATTAATTTTATTATAATCTAATTTATTAATATAGGGAGTAAAATCTTCTTTATTTTTTAAATTTTTTATAAGAAGTAAATACTCTAGGCCGCTACTTTAACTACTATTACTAAGTTCTACGCCCCTAGATCTACCTTTATATATAATAAAAAATTAACTAAACTAACAAGGGCTAGTTTTACTATTTACTACCCTTAACTTTTTATATTATTTATATAATTTAATACGCTCCTCCTCGGAGTAGTTATTTAATTAATATTTTATTATAACTAGCTAGTTATAGTAAGTATATTAGTAAAAGTTAAGGCTACGAGTACTAAGACAATAGTATTATAATTATAAATAGCTTCCTTAAAGCTATAGCTATAAGTTATAAAATAAGTAAGGCTTTAGTAATTAATCGTAGTTTTATTAAAAGGGATTCTTAGTAAAAATAGTTAAAAGCGATCGTAAGATTTAATATTAAGTTAATTATTAAAGAAGTTATAAAAGTCTATTTTTAAGCCTAGCTTAGGTCTATTTTATATATAAGTCTAACTATAAATATATTTTTTATTAATAATTACTTTTATTTATTAAATAATTGCTTAGTAAATATTAATAAGCGCTTATTTAAAATAATTATAATAATTACCTTATTATATAATTACTATTTTTTATTTATATATAACTTATTTATAGTTCTTTTATTTTATAAAAGTTACTTTATATTCCCATACTCTTATATATATAATATATTATAGTTATTATAAGCCTACGGGGTGGGCCCTAGTCTTAGTTATATATATTAAGTTATAATATTAAGTCTCTTTTTTAAAAATCTTATCCTTATAAACTTATAAATAAGTCGTTATAGCCTAGGTTAGGGCTCGTTAAGTAGTTTTTTTTAAAAATATTAAGATATTTATTAAATCTTTAATATATCGTTATTTAAAACTTATTTTTAAAATTAAAAAGTAAGGATTTAAAATTATAATACCTTATTTATTTTATTACTTATTAGGGCGAAAATATAAAATATTAAAGGGTAAATTAAGGTATTATAAATATACGTATTATAGTTATTCTTATAATACGATTACTAATATTATATATAATTATAAGTTTTTTTTTTTTTATTAATATTTTTTATACTAATCGTACTTATAATAAATCGTTTTTTATTTAAAACCGATAGGTTAGAATATAAAAAAAAGGTAAAAGAGCTTTTTTTTAAAAAATAAATAGAGGCCTTGCGCCGTATATAAACTAAAATAAATAAGTTTTTATTAAAATTAGATCGCTTTTAAAAAAAAAAAAAATATTTAAAAAAAGAAAAATAATCCCTAATCTTTTTAATATTATTAATAAAAATAAGTTAGCTACTGCGCGGGAGGCATAGTTTAGTAGTACTTTTAAAATAATTAATTAGGACGTTATAATAATTAAGAGTTCTAGTTTTAATTTTAATTTTAATATTTTAAAAGGGATTTTTAAAAGTTCTAGAGGTTCGTAATAAGTTTTTATATATTTCTTTTATATCTATAGCCCTTCTATTTAATAAAAAATTCTTATATTCTATTCCTAATTCTATAATTAATAATTTATTTAACTTTATATTCTAATTAATTTAGTTTAATAATAATATAATTTTCTATATACGAGCTTCTTAGTATAGGTTTAAGTAGTAAGATATAAAAAACGGGATAGTATCGTATTATATTTAATAATCTTAGTTTATAATTAATTAGTAAGACTTTTTTAATAATTTCGAAAGGTTTAAGTTTTTTATAGTTTAATTTATTACTTAGTTATTTTATTTTAATATTATAGTAAAGGAGATAGGTACTATCCCTCTTTTTTAAAAATAGTCCTTTAATCCTTAATTTATCCGTATTTTTTTTTATATATTATTATACGAACTCGAGATTTAGTAAAGCTTATTTATAGATCTTTTTAAATTTATTTATATTTACTATAGCTTTTATAGCTTATAGTCCTTATTATACTTTTCTATATATTATTAATTAAAATTTATAATTAAAATAAAATAGAGATTTTCTTATACTTTCGCTAACTATATTATTATATACGAACTAAGCTATTAATAAAAATACTACCTAATTATCCTAGTTATAGTTTATATAATAACGAAAGTATATTTCGAAAATCTAGTTAGTCCTTTTTATTTATTTATTAGTTTATAAATAAAATAATATTAATAATTTATAGTTTATACTAAGTTACGAAATTAGAGATTTTTAAAACTTCGAAATAAATAGCTTATCTTTATTAAAAATAATTTCTTTTAGTAAGTTATAGTTCGAAAATATAACTTTAGTAAATATATATACTAAGTCTTTTATAATACTTAATTCTTTATAAGGAATAAAATATACGAACTTAGTAAGTCGGTTGACTATAACTAAAATATTATTATATTATATTTTAATAAATAGTTCCCTAGACTTCGGTAATTTAATAATAAAGTCCTATATAATTAAATACTATACTCCTATTAGTAATTATAATAGTTATAGCTCGCTATAAGGCTTATATAGGCTATTTTTATTTTTTTTATAAGTTGCGCAGTCCTTAATTACTTTTATAATTTTAGTATATATAATAAATTTATTATAGTACTAGCGAATCTATTTTTATATTTTAGTAACTCTTTAATAACTATATACTAGTATATTATAAATTTTTATAATAAGTTTAGGGGTTATTTTTCTAATCGGGCTAGTATTAATCTTTTTAGTTATTATAAAGAGCTTCGTAATTAATATAAGGCTACTATTTCTTTTTTATTTAAAAATAACTTATATTTTTTTAGGGACCGTAATTTCGTAGTTAGGTCTTTTATTAAGAGCGTTTATTTTATTATTTTCTAAACCTTTTTAATAAATAATTTAGAAATTATATTTAAATAGGAATTCGCTCTATTTAACTTATCGTTTATTTAAATTCTTATTTATTATAAAGTTTATAAAGTTTTTATAGTTTATATAAACTATAACTTCGTACTTAGTTCTAGATAATTATAATCTCTATTTTTAAAATACTTTAATAATTACTATTAGTTCTTTATTATAAATTTACTAATTTAATTCTACTTTATAAAATACTTTAGAATAAAAATAATATAAGTAAAGCTTTTTTTATTTATCTTATTATTTTAGAACTACTTTTATAGTAAAGTTTAAAGCATCGGTTTTAATTTTAAAAGGGTTTTATAACCCTAACCCTAACCCTAACCCTAACCCTAAGCTCGTTGACTCCTGTACTTTATCGGCTTTTCTTCACTAGACGATCCTAGCGGTTAATTAATAAGAGATATATGGGATAGTTCATAATATGGCAACCTTTAAAGTGCCACGTCAAGCAACTTTCCCAACCCCTTCCTCGCGTCAGGAAGCGGCGGCTTGGTGGGACGGATTGCCAACAGCTTCCAAAGTCTTTTGACCAGCTTAGTTGCGCATATATCAAAAGCGGTCTTTGAACGAGTTGGAGATGTGAAAAGCATCAATATTGAGGTCGAAAAGAAGGCTAATAATTACTGGTCGGCAGTGGTCGAGAGCTAGGCTCGTGAGTTTGCATCGATTCCTAGCTGCACCCCTGGCTACCTGAGTGGCAAAGGCCTTATTCAAGATTAGGGAGGTCTTATAAAACAAACGAAAGACCAGATCTCGAAGTAATTATCCGGAGGGGGAAAGAAGTTCTTATCTTTTAGAAGGTCATTGAGGCACAGATGAACGACGGAAAGCTGAATGGGTTGATAGTTGACTCTTGCCGTGAAGTCTCTAAAGTTTTGCAGAACTTGTCACAAGGCAATCTCTCGTCACTAGGAAAGTCAGTTTGTGATATAAATTCACCTGTTTCGCAGGCCTGATCTAGGCATATTCAGCGATTGGGGCGCAATATTCGCGGTTTACATGAGGCTTGACGTGTGAGATTCGACACGCAATATCCTGCACATACATCTGCAACAGATCTTTTTCCTTTGCTATATGGCTACAAATAATCAATCCATTCCTTGTGATCAATGATATGACGCGAGCAGAAACACAAAAGTACCCAGCGCGTGCTGCAACCAACCGGTTTCTATGATTCCTGTGTTATCCAGAAGCCGTGTGGAAGCACCGAATGAATGGCTAGCACACGAGCCCCCACATGACCTTCAATCGACACACCAACCCAAGTCCATACCATTCACCATTGAATCAAAGAGCGCTTCCACCTCTCGATCGGAATAAGGAGCTGGTGCTGGTGTCTCAGAACGAATCTCGTTTTCCGTGGTCAAGTCGCCGAGAACAACAGCAAACACACCAGACAAGAGAGACTTTTGATCCAATGCGAGATGAGCCAGCAGATCTGCGCTTGCGAGATCAAATATCTGCACCGCCAAGGAGATCAGCCGAAAGAGGAGGGAGGAAGTTGTCTGTCGCTGGGGAAATGTCACGGTTTCGGCATTATTGTAGCAAAGGGCTAGAATTTTCAAGTCTTCGTCGACAATGCCGTTTTTGTAACACAAGACAAGAAACATGGTCGCAAAGCTGTACGAGATCCATGTCGAGTCTACTGAATATTTTATGCGATTGATGGCGTCCATGTCAGGTGTGTAGCTACCCGTGGGCAGTGCTTCAACAGTCTTGTAGTTTGCCCACGGCTGGTGTGTGGATTGCTCGGAGAGCGCGAAGATAGTAAGGGCCGCCGTGTGTAAACTGACTTCTAGAGCCTGGAGCATGTAGATGGATATGCGACCAGGGCCTCCTGACGCGCGCAGCAACGGCGTAAGACAGGCGCTGTTGATGGAAAGACGATAAGACCGCAAAGTCGTGAAAGGCATTTGGTAGTGCTGAATTTCGTCGCCAATGATGGGGTTCCAGTCCGCCTCAAACGTATCCAGTTCCAGATTCACCTGTTGCAAGCAGGCGGCATCTAGGGAGCGCGCATTGGGGCTTCCACTGCGCCTTACGGCTCGTTTGAGAATAGAGACTAGTTCGCATGTCGCCGAACTCCTCGTGTCGTCAGGATGACTTGCACTGTGGTGTGACCTGAAGCAATCAGCAACGGCCACTACCGGATCTGGGTTCAGTGTCGCTGGGAGACCGCTTGAAAGTGTCAAGGCAGCATCGCAAGTGAGCAAATTGATCCAGACACGCAACCGGCCTACATCCTCCAATTTTGGCGTTGAACCATCGTTCGAATTGAAAGGGAGTACAGCATTCTGGTGCAGCCCGAGAAAAAGGGCATAGCGGATAGCCAGGCCCAGCATGCTCCATGCCGAGATGGCATTATACCGGGTTGACCGCGTAGAGTTGCCAATGTTGTCAATGGGCATCCACTGTATGTACAAAAGTATTGCGCGGATATGGTCCAGATTGACGTCGGCCAGATTCGGCCTCAGGAGGAGACGGCTCAGAGAGTGATCAAGAAGGGAGACGAGAGCCATGTACCGACGGTGCGCCTCGGGAGCAGACGTGCTGGCGAAGCGATATCCTATACAGCACACGGATATGAACAGCGTCGGGCAGGCTCGCCGAATGCCGGCCGCCGAAGTCTGGGTTTGTGGGCAGAGCACTGGAGCCCATCTGTGGCATTGTTTGAAGAAAGTATCGAAGCTTTCTTGAGCCTGCTCCATTGTCATAACACCGCACATTATCGGATCCAGTGCCTCGTTCTCCATGCTCATGTCACTGATGTCTTGGCGCAAGTGACGGAGCATCGACATAGGTGTACCAAAGTCCACTACACCCTGAGCATCGCTTCGGCGCCCTGGACCAGCATACTGGAACATCGCGGCCCCGCTGGCGAACACTCCGTCCTTACGGATCCTTGCCCGCTTCGAATTAGAATGTATTGCCAATTCGTTGACCTCGTCATACGATCTACGAGTGCCGATCATCGTTTGCGGTAGATGCGGGTTCGTGATATCTGTCCCACTTGTGCACGAACCTGGAGTTTTGCCCCCCTGTGCGACGAAAGTTGTGGCAGTACTGAGGTTGCGCACGGTAGTCTCCAGTTGGTTGATGCGATCGTTTTGCTCATTGATTTGCTTCTGCATTCGATCAAGCTTGCGTGCGTTTCGGCTGGCAGCATCTGCATCATCGAATCCCTGGTCATTGGTGGCGGTGGTGAAAGAGCACTGAACGGCCGACTGTGCGCATCGCCGACAGGGTCGTCGAGCTTGGTCTTCCGGTGCCGATGCCGAGAGGCCGGCGCTGCTGCCACCGCCAGGTCCCGAGCACTTCTGCTTGCGACCGCGACATTGGACACAGGCTACGCGAGATAGGCTGGTCAGCGCGCCATGCAGCACCAGGAACGGTAGCAGGAGATGGCACTGGGGGAGATGGTAACAATACCTTTGGAAGCCCGATGAATCTTCGCCGGGCGTGGTCCCCCAGCGCTCCTGTCGGCGTCGGTCTCGGTCGCCTCTTCCGGCGGGACCTCGTCGTCGTTGAAGTCGGCAAGCAACCGACCGTGATCCATGATTTCCTGACGATGTCCTTCACCCACAATAAAAGTTGTCGGGTGCTCTTATCACTAAAAAGAGCAAGCTGGCAATAGCGCTAATAGACTTCAAGTTCTTATCGCCGGCATCGGGCCCGTGCCGACAAAGCCGACATTGATAACAGCGATAGTGATAGCACAATGTTCGCGAGGTCGTACGGAAGCCCGAAGTACTTGAACCACGGGGCTGGTACGGATAATGATGCAGAATTCTGGTGATTATTCCAAGGCTTCACCAAGGAACAGTAACCAGCTCGCTTGCAACATGCCCTCAACGTCGATCTCGTCCGCCGAGACGCCCAAGGCCGCATCTAAGAGCCCAATGGACGACAGCAAGAATTTTGAGATGCAGGTAGGCACCACCATCGAGGTTCCGGCCCCCGGTATAGTAGATGCCGTGCACGCCGCCGAATATATCGAGTACCTCCGCCTCAAGGACCACTTCACGGCCAACCCCAAGGCACACCGGAGCATGATCAGGCGCCTCGATGCCCGGATCCTGCCTTTCTTGTTCATGTACTACCTATTGAACTCGATTGATCGGACCAATGCTGGCAACGTGAAGATCTACACCTTCATGAAAGACACCAACATGACCAACACGCAGTTCAACCTAGCCCTGACGTGGTTTATCATCATGTACGCCATGTTCGAAGCACCATCCAAGTGAGTCACTTTGCATCAGGTCATACTAACGACCACTTACCTCCGTATCCTCTTTTCGGCATTGCTGACCTTCATCACAAACAAAAGCATGATGCTGCGTCGTATTGGTCCCCGTTTCTGGCTGTCGTCACTCGTTGTTTGCTGGGGTTGTGTGACTCTAGGCGGTGCCTGGGTCAAGAGTTACCACGATTTTGTCGTTTGCCGTGTATTGCTCGGTTTGTTCGAGGCGGGCATGTATCAAGGCTGCTTTTATACGATCAGTTGCTGGTACCTACCAAACGAGCTACAATCGCGTTGCGCATGGTGGTACTCGGCGACTCTGCTGTCCGGTGCCTTTGGTGGCCTGCTTGCATACGCCGTTGGTCCCCTCCAGGACCATCATGGCCTGAGGCAATGGCAGTGGCTGTTCATCATCGAGGGTATGCATCATCTCTGTACTCGGCTATTGTTGATCCGTCAGTTTGATATTAACCAAATTTTCGTCCAGGGTGCATCACCATCGTGGTTGGTTGCCTCGGTCTGCTGCTATGCGTAGATTTCCCCGAGAAATGGAGCTCCCGATGGTTCAGCGAGGACGAGATGAAGTATCTCAAACTTCGCGTCAAGTACCGTGATGGTCCTGTGCCTCCCGACATGACATTCCGTTGGAGTGTCTTCTTCGAGGCCGTCAAAGACTGGAAAACCTACCTTGTTGCGTCACTTCTCGCATTTGGTGGCTCTGTGCCTACATACTCGGTCAACTACACCTTAGCAACGGTAAGATTTCCAGGGCGTGGTATTGGCAGAGGTTGGCTGCTAACATTCTGCTGTAACAGATGGTAAAGAGTTTGGGCTACTCCTCCATCCAGGCCCAGGCACTGACGTCCCCACCATATGTTTTTGCGTTCTTCTGCGTTATCGCCATTGCATTTTACTCTGATCGGTACCAATGCCGAGCGCGGTCTTTGATCATCAGCTACACGGTTGGGACCATCGGTATTATCATTCTGTGGCCTTCCCTCTACTACCCCAATCTCTCCGGGCTCAGTTATTTTGCTCTCTTTCTCGTTATCGCTGGCTATAACATGCAAGGCCCTGCCGTTGGCTCGTGGCTGGGCACCAACGTGCGTAACCCGGCCAAGCGAGCCGCCGCAATGGGTTGGATGTCGACTTGGGGCCAGCTAGCTGGCGGCTGCATCGGCGTAAATATCTTTGTCGGCAACGAAGCCCCTACCTATCGCTCCGGCTTTATCACCATCATCGTCCTCGTTGCTGTAGGTGGCTACGGCGCCTGCATCACAAACTGGTATCTACTTCGCCGCGCCAACCTTCAAAAGGACCGTATACCCCTTGCAGAAATAGAAGGAAAGTACACCGAGAAACAACTAGCCGAGATGGGTGAATACTCGCCGTACTTTAGATACGTTTTGTAAATCGGAATTTAAGATTGCTGGACTGGGACAACACGCATGGTGTGGGAGGCTGGATGTAGTAAACGGGCTTGATAGAAGATGGCGGTCACTTGAAGAATTTCTGTTTTCGGTTCGCAGCGATTAAGTGAGCACTGATTCATTGTCCAAGTATCAGCTTAATCAAATCCAAAGCCAATCTTTTCAACTCATGTCACCATACACCTTTTGGCTCGTGATGACGATGTTCCATATCAGCACTAATTTCATGAATGTCTTGTTGGTAATGCCAAGCTTAATAACAATGCTCAATAACATGACTGAATCAAGCATTGATATTACGACACTTGAGGCTTTGCATGAGTCAGAAAAGTCTTAGTTACATCAGCTTATCAGGTAAAACTCTCCCACATGCACTATGGAGACTCGAGCATCTGTCAGTGGCCTCAGCTTAGATTGAAGACACTCAGGAAGATGGTATGGCATTGGTTCACAAAGCCTTTGTGCCATGCTATCAATCTCTTAATCTATGGGCTATGCTGTCTTGGAGTACTTTGCCTCTAATTGGATCATTTCTTCAAATTCTGACATCAACCTTTCTCCTTCACTTTCTCCCAGTCTCAACAAGGGCCTTCTGGGGTCTATCCCATATCCATGTAACTTGTGCAAAACATATTCTTCACAGGCATAGTGTCAGCAAGAGTTACACAATTCATTTTCACTTTGGACTCAAAAGCTAGAACTTACTCATTCCCCTTACACCTGCAGGCACAGCTGCCACATCAGCATTAGACAGAATGGATTGGATCCTATCTGCTTCTTGTCTTTCATCTTCTGTCAGATTGGGCTTGATTAGGAGTGCCCACAGCCGCATAGACGCAGCCGGGGCAAAGTTGGGTATGCCGCTGACGGTGCCATGGCCGCCACTTTTCATCCACGGTGTCAGATCAGAGATCAGCCCATCCAAGAGAAGGAATGGATATGGCCGGGATGTATTGACCGACGGCTCCCTGTTGATAAAGGATGAGAGGCGAACCAGCTTCGAAACACTACCGCCACAGCTACCCGAGACGGTAATAAGTATATTAAAGGCCACGAGAAAACATCGATATCATATCATCACGTACGTGAGTTTGACGCCGCACAGGTTAGGTGCCTGGCGTATCACAGCCTCGATCACTGCCGATGACATGTCCAATCCTCCCGCATTCGCTGGGAAGTTGTACAGAAAGAGTGGGATCTGGCGGTGTCAGCGAATTCTACCCGAGAATTTAAACCATTCAGGGTCAGAGGCACCAACAGGCGACTCCTTGCAGATATCAACGTAATATTGAATGATCTGGTTCTGGTCGGTGCTCAAGCTGGCAGCGTAATAAGCAGGGAGGATGACTAGACCTGCATCTCTGTCGGGTGCACATCTTAGCAGATAAATACGGAGGAAAGAAGCAAACGATGCGCAGTACATACGCCCCGGCATTACCAGCCGCATGTGCGAGTTTAACTGTCTCTCTGGTACTTGAACCGCCCACACCTGCCACAATGGGCATGTCCGTCAAGCCAGCATCGTCGAGTGTGCGTCGTATGAATTTGATGAGATCCACTCTTTCCTCTGGAGACTATAAATCTTGATGATTAGAGAATCGTACCCTGGGATGAAGTATCCTCTAGAGTCTCTATGCATACCAAATGTACTGCTTCGCCAAGCGACCCCGCGCACACAGGATCTAGATGAGTCAATGTCGGGTATTTAGTGGATTGGCAATGTATTATTGATAACGTACTGATTCCTCTTCTAGCAAGATCTTGCGTAATCACTAGTTAGTCAGAACTCGTACAGGGGGCGGTAGTGATGGCTAACTGAGTAGATGCTTCTCATACGATCCGTAGTCGATTTCTTGCTTTTCATTAAAGAAGGTCGGTAAGGGTCCATAAGCCCCAGGGTTCAATATCAGGCCCATTGCGATCGTCTGGGTGTAGAAGAAGGAAGTATTTCGAATGGTTTGTTCATCGAACAATCAGTTTTGCAATTACGCATAGACTTTGTCGTTGGGCCGAGTTCAGCTGGGCCATTATACGTAGATTATGAGGTTAGGTACTCTTTGCGTGAAGGGTGGGGCTCGGTATCTATACAAGCGGCCCGCTTGCCGACGGGACCGACGGGGCCGATAGGGCTTATCAACCGGCAGTTCTTATCAAGTTAGATTCTCTTCCATCATTTGAAATTTAGAAGCTCCATTTCGAAGATAGCCAATACGGCTGTTTGATAGGACAAGGAAAACAGCTAGTGTTGGGACTTCACCCTGGCTCGGGTGAATAATGCACTCAGGCTGCACTCAATAGATCGCGTCCATGGCGCCGACAATGGTCGACGTAGCAACTTGTCATTAGTCTGCTACTATCAAAAAAGGGACGGAGAAATCTGTGAACAGGGTGGGCTATGCACACTTCAACTGTATTCGTGATTAACTCCATTACCTAAGTCCAAGAAACTCTGCAAGGTGCCTTATTGATAGAACAAGGAACTGTAGTATATGCCTGATTGAGCACCCTCTAGAGTCTCCATCCTTTCGCGTAATCTAGAAATCCAATACGCACAATCCCGAGATTCATCCATTATACGTGAATCCTCAATCTCTACAACTTGGAGAGTTTTGAATTTTTTTGACCGTTCAGTCGTTCCCTCCTGAATGTGGCAATTCTGGGTAGAATATGTCAGTCCAAGGCCATCGGTTGACTTCGAATACAACGAACCTTTCCTCGTCTGCTAGCTCGAAAAGAACCTCTTGTGCGCCTTGCCAAAGAACTAGCTGGCCCAACGGTCTCAGATTCTCACCACCTTCGGTGATTGTCAGGAAGTGATTTGCAGAGAGGGTACCCATCTTGCTCGCGAACGATACACCGCCGTAGCAGAAGAGAAGCTCCGTCTCAGAATAGCCTCCGGGGTAGAAAAGAATCTGGCCGGCACTGGGGTGGCTCGTGTGGTTCTCGAATGGCAGGCCAAGATCCTGGTCCCCCAACGGCACCCAAACCGCTTCGCCGCTCCAACGGACGTGAATGACTTGTTGCCGGTACGGTAGTAGTTTTCGAAACACCGATACCGTCTTAGGGGCCGCCGACTCGAAGGCGGCCAGGAACTGATACGGTCCAGCCGTGATAAGAATTTTGTCCTGAGATGCCATTTCGCGACGGTAGTTTATGTGGCGTGCCTCCAAGTTCACTGGCAAAAATGTAATGAAGCAGTACTCAGAGGTCTGGGGATGTGACAAGCAGCACGCGAACTTTGTGTGTCTGTTCGATGCAGGCTTAGGCCCTATCGGTTCGGTCGGCCTCTGCATCATCGGTCTAGTCGGCAACTAAGCCGCTGGCTAAGTGGAGCTTCGTGTGTGAGATATAATCACCAGAGTTCTAGCGATGATGTTCACTCCATGTGATAACTTCATGTCTAGAGATACGCAGCTAGCTACTCCAGTGCCATCATGTCCGCCATTAAGATGATCCAGAGTCTCCCACGGACGTATCCGAACACGTTCCCACCTTCAAAGCAGCCAAGTGCCGAGAGCCGCGGTGGCAACCACCAGCCGATTCAGGACGGGCATATTCTCATCACTCCCGTATTACACGATGGAAAATCATCATTTGGTGCAAAGATTGATGGAATCGATTGGTCCCGTCCACTTCCTGCCGATGACATCGAAAAGGTAAGCGCTTCTAATCGAAACAACCGGGCTTTGCTAATCTTTCGATACTCTGAATAGCTCAAGAAGATTCAAGATAACTACGGCGTCCTGATCTTTCGCAAGACTGGATTGGACAATGAAGGACACATAGGCTTTGCTAAGAGACTAGGCCAGGAGCTTGAGATCAACCCCTTCTTCTACGGCATTGAGAACGACCGCATAGGTGATCCGCTGTTATGGGACGTCAGCAAGTATGATAAAGCTGAACTTGATTCGATGTTTCATAACCTGTTGACTGACGATTGCGCAGCATCAATCTCGATGGAACCATCGTACAGCCTAATCAAAGACGCTGGGATCACAGCTTAGGCAATGCTTTGTGGCATACGGTCAGTCCAGACATTGTTACAAGACCTCGTCACACGACGAACATACTCACAAAATTCAGGACTCTTCATTTCACCAGCACCGGTCGAAGTACTCGCTGCTTTTATCCCACGGCAGCCCAGCCAGAGGCGGCTCGTGGACGCATTTTGCCGACACTGCGCGAGCATATGCAGATCTCCCACAATCCAAGAAAGACGAGTTGGAGGATCTGATCATTGAGCATGATTTGTGGCACTCACGCCGTCTTGCCTCTCCACAGGCTTTTGCACAGCCCCTGGAAAGTGAGCGGGCCGCTGAAAAGTCGGCATATCACCGACTCGTGCAGGTTGGCCCGGATGGGAGAAAGACGCTGTATCTGGCCGCGCACGGCAAGCTCGTCGTAGGGCGCGGAGTTGAAGAGAGTCAGAAGTTGATTTGGGAGCTCATCAATCACTGCACACAGTCCAAGGTAAGCCACAAGGACACTGATGAAGCTTAAATGTGCTTCAATGGATCGAAAATGCTGATCCCTACTAGTATGTTTTCAGTATGGAGTGGTTGGAAGGTGGTGACATGGTGTGGTGGGATAATCGGTGAGTGTATTGTCCCTCTGCCTTGTACTATTGTTGCATTCCTAGAACAACCGAGATGGCGCAGTATGCTTACACTGAACAATTAATAGAAAATCCATGCATCGCGCGAACCCCTACAACGCCGAGATGACTGCGCGTGATGTGCGTCGAGCCACCGTAATCGATGACGGGCCTCTAGCATTTGGTGTAAGCGACGAGGAGCTAATGGTTCATGAACGTGTAGATTAGTTTGACAATCATTGAGAATGTTTGATATTGAATAAGTGATGCGCATCGTATCTGCTCGGATCATACGATTAGTAGGCCGTCCAGAATCACAATTGAAGCTAGCCAACATGCGCCTCTAGCGATCGTGCGACATGCCGGGTCCGAAGGCCCTACGCATCGCGACTAGTACGCCAGCGATTCACGTCTATCCTGACGCCAGGTCCTTGGTGCGACCCAAGAGTTAGCCTGATGGACTAGCGGTACAGTGTCCAAGCAACGGCGAACCCCGTCGACACATACTGAAGAAGAACCTTCTGGCTCTGGCCATTAATGGTCCACTCGAAAGCACGGCCAAAATCCCGAGCCCAGTCTCGGTGGCTCCGAGGGGCAATGCGGGCTGACTGGTATTTCTGCACCACCGCACTTCTGAAATAAGATACGGGCGTGTCACTCATACCATGCTACATGAGATACTTAGGCTTTGAAGACCCCGGTAGGGCTATGCACAGCGCATAGCAGTTACATCATCGATAGGACCTCGTTATCAGGCATCCCATAGACGTTTGCCATGCTTTCTAGTGCTGCGACCAATCTCCATATGTCGCAAACGAGAGGCGTGGGGTATCAGGCCCTACACTAGCACAGCTGTTTGTAATGTGTTCTAACCCAAGCCAAATCTTTAGTATCTTGTTTAATTGCGATACTTTTTGCTCTGAGATTATAGCAGGTACCAATCCGGCAGCTATCTCTAGATGTTCCTGTCAATCTGTAGATGCACCTTGGCGTTGCCCTGTTCAAGGTTTTTCTGCCTGGAAGATATAACTCCCACCACACCTCCTGCTAACATCCGCACACCCGCCTACACGACACCAAATCCTTCGATTATAGTGGGCATATGGAAGGTTAGAAGCAGCCCGAACTCGGCCACCGTATCTGGAGACTTAAAGAAAAAGGGGTTACAGGGAGCAGGAATCAGACACAGGGTATCAATCATTCGCTAGCTCTACGACTAGAGCCAAGCCCTGCCTTGTGAGGTTACATGTAACGACAATACTATTTAAACTCATCTCTCACATCAAATGAGCCCTGAGGAGCGAGATCACAAGCTCATGTCCATGAATTAGACAGCAGAACCGGAGACAAAACTCCCTGCCCTTCTCAGAAAATGACCACTTCATGTAGTAACCACGAGAGGCGGTCAAACAACTAACCACAATAGAATGCTCGAGGTTATAAAAACGAGTCTTAGGACCAAGAAGCATTAGCAATACCTGCTGTCAAGGCTCAAAGCAACACTTTCTCCGGTCCCCGTTAAACTTAACCACCTACTAGCAGTTTATCATTTTTTCATTGAGACTCTGAGCAATAACTTTCGTGCCCCGATTCTTCTATAGTGCTGCTTGCCTTCTCTTCCGGTGAAGAAAAGGCCGCAGGTCATCTGGCCTACGGATGCTCCGTACGACGAAATGATCTTGGCAATGTTAGAGGCTAAATGCCCGGGAGAAAAAGCATGTGCTCTTCCCATGCCCATGGCACGTCCCTAACACGCCTACACTCTAGTTGACCCATGTAATACACCGGGCCGGCACCTCAGGGTAGGAATTGTGTACCCGGTGGGATAGCTTACTTTCGAGCTTCCAACAGACACCGATTCAAGCACCAATGCGATGAACCAGAAATTCTGAACGTCCTTCACAACAACAGAAAGCAATACCTTGAGTCAGCTGGAGTCAAGTTGTGCGGGCCCTTTACAGCTGTGAAGAGTTGAAGTTTGGTCAGGAGGAGGAGGTTGGAGGGGAAGGGGGATGACAAAGTAGGGCTATGAAGAAAATAGGGAACTGACTCGAGGCCTCAACTTTAGCCCAGTGCTCTGGAAATACATACTATAAATATCGTGGGACATGAAACCTTGGCATCAGTATGGAGAACTGAAGGTAGGATGTAGCGAAAGGGCTCTGCTCAACACAGCTCGCATGTTGTCTATACTCCTTCATTGAGCCTAGAACTTTGTGGACCATAAACTTCGATGATACATGTCAAACTTTCCCGAAATAACAAAGTTTACCCTTCCCATTCCACCTAGGGCAGATTATTGCTAAATTTGCCCGACTGAATTTCTGCGAAGCACCCACTTGCGTCTCTCCCAGAGTCATGATTATAACAAATATAAGAACACACAACTATCCATAGATAATCATCTCCATCATCGCCACCACCTTCATTGACAATCATCACTTCGGTCTTCACTTTCGTTCTCACTTTTACAAAAGTCTTTCTTTTACTTCTCTCTTCTTAACGGCATAATTCCAATTCCGTTAACCTTACTATGCATTCCTCAACCATGTTCACGGTCGCCATTGCTGCTTTTGGCTTCTTTGGCGAAGCTTCAGCGTACTGCAACTGGAATAAGAAGACTGTCGAGAACTGCTGTTATCGCGATAACGACGCAAGAGTCAGGCAAGGCGGTTATATTAACTTCCCGCAAGGCACAATCTGCCCTGAATCCCACTCGAATACCTGTGGCGCGGACTGCTGCACCTTTGATACTGGTCTGGGTATCGGCTGCCCCAAGTAGGCATTTGTCCGTACCTGCTACGATGCAACTTGATAGTAAGCTTCGGTTCAGATTCTGGTTGTATTCAAGGTAATCTAACATTAATTATTAGGCCGCCACTTTCAAGTATACGAGCTCCAAACATAAAGACCTTCACGGCAAACCTCTTTCGTCTTTTTGATCTTGGTATTCATGTCGTTCCTACCTTGGTATACTTTCGACACTATCACGCCGGCTATGGGTTGATTTGGGAAACCCAAGTGGTAACGCAGACTCGAAGTAGGACTTGAACCAGACTTTGAATCAGACTTAACGTAGGGATTGCTTATTGAGGCTTGGGCCTTAGAACAGTAACCGGTTGATATCTCTGCTTTTCATCGTTCACTTTGAATACCTACAATGAGGCTAGCCCGTATAAGTTGAGTCTGTTCTGGGAAGTGACCTGTATCAATTGACATTACAATCATACCTGAAGGCCGGTTTTCAAAATAGCAGTTTAAATCAATTTGGCTCATGTTCATTTTTTTCCATCGCTACGTAATGATATGGCCGTGAAATTTAACAACTGAGTTTTGATGAATCATGACTAGAGCAACGACTCGATCGGAAAGATACCTGCAAGACAACTGATCTGGCTCAGATTACATCGGATCTGCATGGACCTGATTGCTAAAAGCTTGCATCAGGTCAACGGAAACCCGCCAATAGTTTTGTGAGGCTTCATAGAGACAGTCGTAGTCCAAATCGCACATGTTGAGTTGTCCACGTAGTTCTGGTTGAGATTCTAGTGATCAACAAGCTATACCTACGGCACGGGAGAAGTCGAATAATCTGGCGCTTCTAGTAGTGGCCCGGGGTACGAGACTCGCAAGCGGGCGATATCACCGAGAAGGTCTCCACACCACACTCGACCAAATCTCCTATCGCGGCGCCTACCTCATGCTACCTGTGATGTATCTTCGTGCTATCGTTCTTAGTTGAGATTTAGCACGGACCCGGGGATACTTTCCGCACATCGCTCAACGCCGGGCTCAGTCCCGAGGGCGGGGTTCGCATCCTGCCGGGGGGATGCTGTGGGGACGCATAGTTGGATACATGTCAAGTGGGGACGTTATCCTCCGAGATAAAGAAACCCCACCCACAAAGCCGCCCATTTATCGCATTTATCATCTTCGAGTCATCATATCATCGTCTTCCTATTGTTCTTGCACAAACTTGAAGTAGCTCTCCTACGCAGGGTTGTTCATACGGCTGCCAAAGCCAAAACAAATCGAGCGTGGCAATGTCAGCAAGGAGCGGTGTTGGGAAAAACCGTGCATCGAAAAGGCGCACATCGAAAGCGTAAGTCACCATGGCTGCTCCTGTCAACAGGACTTGACCGGTCATATTTATTGACGATTTTTCGGCTGCGAAGCTGCACAAGATGCCGCGATCAAAAGATTAAATGCTCGGGCTCAGACCCCTGTCAACAATGCAGCAAGAGAGAGCAGGAATGCGTCTTTCCTGACGAGTCGCAAAAGGTCGTGGTCACCAGGAGGTAAAACTTCAGTCTGGTCGACTTACTTCTGATATCAAACTACTCGGTTCACTCACGAAATGGCTCTAGGTATATCAGCGACTTACAAGAAAAGCTGGCCGCATCCGAGCGGCGAGCATCTTTGATGGTCTCACAAGACCCGCCATTGGATCAACAAGCAAACAACAAAACGCGTCAGAGCAGGCTGTTCATTCAATATCTACGTTCAAGATCAGATACTAACAGATACCATAGTAGAAATCCCTGGTGATGCCACTGAGAGTTATCTTTCAACACAGGACCGCACAGTGGGAAACATTTTCCCCATTACGCCCTCATCTTCGACTGTACTCGCTTCATCTCTTGGCGTCCATGTGCCCACAAACGAGGCACCGCTCACAAATCCACTAGCTTTCCATACAATAGACTGGGTTCCGGGTCCTAGTGGTACTCCCGGTACGTCTGAGGCGCCAGTTTTCTCCAGCGCAGTACGTTGATGCTTGCCTAATCAGTATTTATGGGAACGTCTTCCAATTGGGCTTTCAACCGACGGGTCTTATCTATGACCCATGAAGCAATCACCGGCACTGCTTTATCCCCAGAGAACCTATTCTTTGACGGAAAGGTTTACGACTTGAGGTGGGATGGAGGCCGAATCTCATCTTCAGGAGACGATTTCAGCCTTGCCAGTTTGCCGACTCAGGATTTTGCAATCTATCTGATTAATTCCGTCAAGTTTCACTGCTGCCGGTTGTTCTATCTGTTTGAAGAGGACAGTTTCATGGAGCACTTTGCCACATTCCATGCAAGTGCCGCGGATCAGTCAAAAGTCCCCCGGCTGTGGTTCGTTCACTACCTCATTATCTTAGCATTCGGCAAGGCGTTTATCGTACAGACATCAAAGTCACACCAACCTCCTGGAGCAGACCTGTTTGTGCAAGCTATGAAGCTTATGCCGGACTTCACCTTCTTCGAGTGTGACTACATAGAAAGGATGCAGGTACTTTGCTGTACCTCGCTGTATCTTCACTGCATAAGTTGTCGGCCCGCTGCTTATCGATATGTTGGTGAGCCATGCCTCTCTCTCTGGCCTCAGCTTCTGATAAACCTCTTCCAGGTTGGACAGGCGCTTAGCACAGCGTTCGAACATGGCCTACATACCGAGATGCAGAGCCACCACCTAGACGAGACGTATGTTCAGAGGTGCAGGCTAGTATGGTGGACAATATATGTCTTGGAGCGTCAAATGTCAGCACTCATGGGAGTGCCTATGTTCATCTCGGATGAATGCGTCTGCACACCGTTCCCCATATTTTACGAGCAAGCACAAAGAACCAGCGCTTTGCACATACAGATCAAGTTGGCGCAGGTACTGGGGCAGATCCATCAGAGTAAGGCGAAGAGTCACATACTCATCTTGAGCTTACTACCATCGCTCTGGTGGCTAACATGTTGCACTAGCTGTTTATGGCATTGAAGGACAGCTCGACAGTCGCTACTTGGGTGCCACAAAGGCTGTTCTCCAAAGTATAGCAGGCCTCGCTACCGACCTCCATGGTTTGTTTGACATCGACTCCAGTGAGAACACATCAGGAGTCTCCCGTGTCTCGGCACATTTGCATCTCCAGTACCACCAAGTATGGAGACATCAAACTTCGGTATAGAGGAAATGCTAACTTAACGTGTACGAAGTGCATCGTTCTAACCACTAGGCCGCTATTATTCATATTCCTACAGTCCAAACTCGGGCAATCTGAATCAGTGCTGATGCAGTGGTTGCATTCCGATAGCATCAGAAGCTTACTACAGGTTTGCACGGATTCTTCGCGACAGATAATCAAAATTTTATTGAGATTATTGAGTCATGGTTTACTGGGTAAGTCGCTCAATTATTCTTTGCAAGGAGTGGTAGCTCATTCGACGGATCACAGAAAGCTTCCTAACGTTTGATCTGGATGCTACATCAACAGCTGCAGTCGCCATGTCTATGGCTGCAGCTATTGAGCCGACTCTGTTTCCCGACACAGCAGCGTGGTCTCAACGGGTGTTCCTCATCCTCGAAGAAATGAGCTCTCACGGTAGTAAGATCGCAGGAATGATCTTATCTGAACTGAGGCAGCTTGATAATTATCTTCACCATCTCAGTGCAGACGAAGAAGTCCCAAGCCAAGTTCATGGGACACAGCGTACTGCCTCTACCAATGATGTTGGATCATACCCAACAGACCAGGCCCTAGGTTTGGAGTTTGAGCAAAGCCTGGCGATGGAGGCCGAGCTTAGCACAGACCTTCTGATCGATATCGCTAACTCGCTGGATCCTGAGAGCTTGAGCTGGGATTTCCCCGTAGCTGAAGGCTAGTGGACAGCCGCGAGTCAATCAGACCTAAGTGACATCTCAATATTGCTTAGCAGAAGCACAACACAAAGTCACCATGAGTCGGGAATGGTGTGCAGTTTGTTCAATTGAAAGTATGTCTGTTCAGACTCCCTGGAACCGTTTTCTGCCTAGGGTGTCTTGCTTGCGCACAACATACGTTTGCAAAGATCAAGCATCATTCATCTTCCACAGAGATGGCATCGGCCCTCCTTCTCCGTATAACGGATCCTTAATCGGACCAGGGACCTTCTCGCACCTTCCCCGTTTCTCGTCTGTTTCCTGAACCGAATCCAATGCATACTCCATATCATAAGGTTCTTCCCTTGAGTTGAACCCCGTCTCAAAACCTTGTCAGCTCCTGACTTATGCACATAACGTATGAATGAAGCGATGTTTAAGTAGACCTTACCAAAGCATAAAACCCAATTATCTCATAGTCATCCTCAGATTCCCTAACAAAGTGTGTCACTCCTGCCTAGATTGAAGAAGTTGGCATAAGTAGCTCAGCCCCTGATCGGGTTCTGCCGGTTTTTAGTAACTTACTGGCCATGCAAAGACGTCCCCAGCACGAGCAACAAACTCGACACCCACAGGGTTGCCGAACTCATCGGTGTCTGCGTCCAAAGGAGATTTTCCAAGAACATATGTGCCGCTCCCATGTAAGACAGTGTACGCCTCGTGTGTCGTCAAATGATAGTGGGGGGTAGCTGCGAGTGTTTCGTTGGCGATCTTCCAGTGACCCCCTTTGACCCACTCCGAGGTGTTGATCGCCTCTAAAGCGCCTTCAACTGTTTTGTTCTCCAGCGCGTTTCTATACACAATGACAGGGAATTTGGAATTTGGGGAATGAGGGGTGGGTGGGACCTTAAATGTCTCTGGGGAGATTGGAGATGATGCCATTGTAAGGAACAGGAACTGTCTTGGTGAGGGAGACGTTGTTGACGATAGGGTGATCAATGGGTCAGTCAGCTCGATAAGTTTGTGACCATCATGATATTTGTACCTTGCTTTGACTGAGCTCTAGCGCGATCGACAATGATAGCATGTTATCACGATTGCGAAAGCTTCGTGCCTCGACCGTGCAACAGATGCAATGTGCGGGGGAGGAGTCGGCAAAACAGCCACCGGGAACTGGGTCCGTAGACCAAAGCAGTGACGCCACAGTCTTGCAATGGGAAATCGGATGCGTTTCCCGAGAATCACCACCCACTTCAACACCCCCCACGACGAGAGTGGTAAGTCTTTCCGAAAACCGGCAGTCCTACCACACCCAACAACCTGGAGGTCTCCACGATTTTCTCATCAATTGCTGGGCGCCAATCAACGATACCTTGGCGGTTTTGGCACCCAAGCCGACCAATATCGAGTATCTGGTACTGCGGCATCTTCAACCCCCAACTGTGTGACCATGTGCCCGAACCCGAAGCCGTAAACAATGAAATAAAGAGAGCTTTGCGATACTGTGGTTGTTTTGAATTTCGCTGTGCCACGCAAACTTACCGGACGGCTTGCCGGGCACGACTTTACATCAAGCCGGCAAGTAGAATCTCGGTTCTGTTACTGCATGAAGTATACTAAGCAAATGAGTACATTCAGTCGCCCAACTTTGGCTATCTAGGTGGCTCCAACGTGACTGGTTGCATCATAGTCAAAACACACGTATAAGTTATTGACTTGGGTAAACTCTATAGATGGCCAAGTTCGTTTAGCTATGTTCGGAGGCTAAGGGACCTTGTACACAAAACGATTGACCTTCAAAATAAGGTGGTTGTTTCGCCACCCCCTAGACCAATCTAGCATAGATGCTCCTCTGCTATCAATCGCCAGCTTTTTTTAGCCCATGGGCTTACCACAACTGTACGTAGCTGAAGAATCTTCTGATCTTCGGCTGCTTGTAATATTCGTCCAGTTGCTTTATCTCCTCAGTTGATAGCTCTCGCCGACCAGTGATGCAGTCTGCTGTATTCGGATCACGCCAGGGTGTTCTGTAAATGATCTTATATCCAAGCGTTGCACCGAGGATGAGAATGAGTCCGATGGTGTATTGGAAAAAGTTCTCCGCCGTGAACCCCCCGCCACCCTAAGATAGACTGGTCAGCCTCTTCGCGGAACAGAAGTGAGAAGAGATAAGAAATCAACGATATCATGCATCGGAATACGAAATCACTTACGATAGGGTTGATGCCGCAGGCTAGACACGAAGCCAGTAGAATCAATGAAACGATCATTAACCAGGCAGGAGCCAAAGGCCATGCAGATGATTCCCACGCATATGTCTGGGAGAATAGAAGGTCCCCTTGTGCCTTGATGGCACATCTGAATCGCCAATTGGTGAAGGAAATGATGATCCAATTGGTGAAGAAAGATGCACTAGTGATCGAAACCAACCAGTTCAAGACCTTGATACCATCTCCTATAAATTTGTTAGCCGGCATATGCAATCAAAACACTCTGCTTTCAGTCTCATGACACTTACCCGACAGCTGTATGTACGACAGCACAGCGGCAACGATGCACGTCACGAGCAGCGCCAGCCTCGGTCGACCCTTGTCGTCTACTCTGGCCAGGCGACCTGAGATGAGTTTCTGATGTGACATAGAGCGCAGGACTCTAGAAGACAAGTATACTGATTCGGCGGCGATTGCTAGAACTCCACACATCATCCCAGCATTCAGGAGCGAGGATATGCCACGAATTCCAGAGCTCTCTACAGCGATAACAAAGGGAGATGCAGAAACGCTACTGCCACCAAGCAGCCTTTCATCATCCGAGGGTACCAAAATTGTGATGAATATGACACTAAGCATGTAAATGAAGTTGACTCGGAAAGGGACGAGCTTTGTTGCATGGGCCATTGAGAAGCGAGGACTATCGGCCTCGCCGCCCATGATGCCGACGAAAACTTGGTCGCCAACGGCCCATGTTGCTAATAGGGCACAATTCGCGAATCCCTGTACACACGTACTTAAATATTAGCTATATCCAATTTCATTGCCAAGAATTGATATCAGTGCCTACAGTAAATCCGTTGAGGAATGGCGGGAGGCTTGTCCAGGTTTCTCCTCGGTGCAGATAACCGTTTGGCCCGGCTCCAAGTACCAACGCAAGTGAGAGTATGATAATGATCAGGAAGAGAAAGATTTTGATGATGGACGTGACATATTCGAACCAGGCGAAGGCTTTGTTGGGAAGAAGGAAGATGACGAAGCACGCGAATAAAAATAGAGAAACTATTGCGGAAGATCAGCTTCAATTCGACGCCAAGTAGAGTAGGTGGCATTCGGTTCAAACTTATACGCGCGAGACTTACTAGTTGCCGCTTGTGGAAACGATTCTGGAGCCCAGAAGCGAAGGAGAACGTGGAAGAATCCCGCTTCAGCTGCTACTATCGCAGCCCATCCTATTCGAAAGTTAGTGACAGCAAGGTTCCAATCAGGATCGCCTTTTGCCTCACTCACCAAGCCATTCAGCGAACCCAGCACCAAACGCCAATGCTGGATCGACCCAGCGGTCAGCGTAGTCTATATAGTTACCGGATACCGGAAAAGCAATTGTCATTTCGGAAAGTGATTGAAGGACAGCCCAAACACAACTGCAGACCAAAAAATATGCAACAACCATATTGCCGGGGCCTCCAGTAGCTAAAGCCTTGCCAGTTGCGATAAAGACGCCGCTTCCAATGTTGGAGCCAAGAGAGATAATCTATTGTCATAGTGAGTAGAACATTCGACAACGGCTCCTCGCGTGTAGTAAAGACTGACGTGAATTTGACGTGGAGAAATGGATCTGTGGAACTCGCCGTTTCGATCGTCTTCAACCTGACCCACAACAATACTACGTGTGGGTTGCAGGTCTTCTACGCCAGTCTTTTCATCCCCCAACTTGTCATCTTTGCTGGTGGCAAAAGGTGGTGTAAGATGCGACATCGTATAGCCGGTCAGAGAGACTCAATCTGTGGCGGACGATTGGAAAGCGGATGGTAAATCATGGTCGGTCGGAAGGCGGAAAATCGGGGGCCCGTCTTATGTGTTGCGGCAATCCGCGAAATCCACATCACGTTACTGCCTGCTTTAAGGTAGATAGCAAAACATGTCCGGCTAGTCGTTATCATCGGCAATTAGAAAGTGGCATGTTATCCCGCCGGCGGCATGCGCCAAGTCAATATGCAAGATACTCCTGCCCTTTCCCCGTTTACGACGCATGTCTTCTGTTGAAGGATTGATGGACATTCCCTCCACAACCTGAGTGCCGCTACGGGAAACGCATCCGATGATAGTCAGGGAAGGGAGAACGCTCTCAGGAAAGTTTGTCATCTACCTCTTGATTACTTGGCATGCCACTAATACTTTGTGCCTTAACTATCGGATGGCAAAGCCGTGAAACACTGGCTGATAATGTAGGTGCAGAGAGATGTGATCGAGTGTATCTACCATCGGAGACACTGGCGTTGATGTGTAGGACGCAGCACAACAACAAATGTATTCGTCGATGCGATTGTGGTAAAACAGGCGACATTAATATAAATAAGACTCTTATAATAATGATGATCCTCGACACATCCTCAGACAATTCCAAAACCATCGCGTTTCTATACCTTGAGGAACAGGAAGCTTCGATTTGATAATGCCGTCACACACCAAAGAACTGCATTCGGACGTTATCGTCATTGGTGCAGGGTTTGCCGGATGCTACCTTCTTCGCAACCTACGCAAACAGGGATTCCAAGTCCAGGTCATTGAAGAAGGCCACGGGTTGGGAGGCGTTTGGTGGCATAATCGCTACCCCGGCGCCCGTGTCGACACTGCCACGCCTTTCTATGAGTTCTCTGATCCTGAGCTCTGGAGAGAATGGGCTTGGACAGAGAAATACCCCAGTCAGCCTGAGATTCTCCGATATTTCGAATTCGTTGACCGTAAGTGGGATCTTAGTAGGGACATCACTTTCGGCGCGAGGGTCACTGATGCAACATTCGATGCACACACCAACCGTTGGAATATTATCACCGACCATGGCCAACTTATGTCAGCTCGCTTCCTGCTACCCGCGATGGGGTTTGCCGCCAAGACATACATTCCCGATCTAAATGGTCTTGACAGCTTCGATGGATCATTGTTCCATACTGCTCATTGGCCTCACGAACCATTGGATCTTTCCGGCAAACGCGTCGGCATCATTGGGACAGGGGCCACTGGCGTTCAACTGGTTCAGGAGATAGGTCCAGTCGCTGAGAAGCTCGTTGTTTTCCAGCGATCACCGAATTGTACCATGCCGATGAGACAGAAGTTTTCGGTGGATGGAGAGCCAGATAAGAGTGGCTATGAAGACCTTTTTTCCCAAATGAAGAAGTCTAGGGCCGGCTTCACATACCCAGTGGTCACCAGGAAGGCCATGGATGACACACCCGAGCAGCAGCAACTCCTCTTTGAAAGTCTCTGGGAGGAGGGCGGATTCGCGCCTACTCATGGCAATTACTCAGACTTTATGACAAATCTGGAAGCGAACCACCTATTCTACAACTTTTGGCGGGATAAAGTTCGACAGAGAATACACGTGGACGACCCTGAATTGATCGAGAACCTCGCTCCAAGGAACCCGCCCTACCCATTCAGCACGAAACGGCCATCCCTTGAACAAAACTACTACGAGATTTTCAACCGAAATAATGTCAGCCTCGTCGCCTTAAAGAAAAATCCCATAGACCAGATTCTACCAAATGGAGTGAGGATGGAGGATGGGACTGTCCATGAGCTTGACGCTTTGATCCTTGCAACGGGGTTTGACGCCATCACGGGAAGCTTCGGCAGAGTCAACTTCCGTGGTCTGAAAGGCAGGTCACTGAACGAAATGTGGAAAACTGGAACTCGCACATACCTGGGTATGACGACTTCGGGTTTCCCGAA